CATGTAACCGCTTAGATACGCATTTTACGTAAGTTTACTTTCTATTTGCTTCGTAGATATTCCCCTTCCTTCCTGGACAGTTTGAGGTAAACCTTCACGGTCGCATCAGTTTCTGTAAAACCTGCCGGGGCGGAAACCACCTGGACGTTTTATACGTTTGACACGAGCGTAGGAAGTATGTGGCGGCAGCGCAGTGCGCGAAGCTAACGTCTGAAAAGGTTAAGAAAAAAGGAGACCGAATCGCAGTACCCGGGGAGAAACTTATAGTTTTTCATGGTTGTGGAAAGTTAACGCCGAGAGGCAGGGACATTTCTTCACCCCTCGACCTTAAGGTAAGAACAACCGGTTTGTGAGAGGACTTCACGAAGTAAATGCTCGTTTCGTAGCGTCCATAAGTATCGGTCAAATGACTGCTTAAAAAAAAAAAAGAGTCTTTGTTTACAAGCTTCCCCGGCGTCCTCATCTCAATGAGCTTGTTCACACTTTAGCTACAGTACTCCATTGTTTTAGTTCACAAGAGTAGATGTATATTCTACAGTCGTCTTATATAATATCTATAAATTCCCGCCTCTGGCAGTAACTGGTCCCATTGATGTTTGTTGACTGTACGGGTCCATACATTGTTATAGCTGACTCATTATATGGTATTTCATTGACAGGGACCACTGTCTGACAATAAAGGTGTGTGAGTTAAAAAAAAAAAAAAAAAAAAGGTCCTTGGGTCAGTCACGACATTTGGTGTGGTGCAGAAATGACAACCAGTAATGTAGCATGAAATCAGCTCACATCCACACTTCCCCTTCTTTCCTCTCACTGTGTGTCCCAGGAGAGTTGAATAGAAACCCAATCTTTCCCTCTGGCACCGGCTGTGTCAGCTGCTGCCTCTCTGGGACTCGCAGAGACAGGTGGTTCTTGGACAGGTGCACCCCTGAACAAAAGGGTTACACAGTCCTCTGACTTAGCTTCTTTTTTTTCTTCTTTCTGCCAGTTTAAAGCTACAATCTGTGCAGGCTGGTTCTGCATTTATACTCTGTGTGTTTCATTCAAATTGTTAAGTAGATACACCCAAACACGGTTGTAAATAAAAGTCCAGCATTCCTTGAAGCAATCTGCACACCTAGAGTTTTCATTCTAGATGGCCACTAGGTCTGTCACGATAATAAATTTTGCTGGGCGATTAATTGCCTCAGAAATTATTGCGATAAACGATAATATTGTAGCGCAGAGGTGACAGGGCCTTCTCTGTAGCAGGACCAAGACTCTGGAACGAGTTACCTCTGCTTGTCAGACAGGCCCCCTCCCTCTCGGTTTTCAAGTCCCATTTAAAAACTCACTACTATTCAATAGTTTTCAACACAAGATGATCTGTGTTTTGATCCTGTATGCTCCACACTGGTTTGTCGTCATTATCTGCATCGGGTTTTTGTGGGGGGTTTTTTTTGTCTATATTCTGATTTACCTCATTTTGTATTTTGCTTTGTGTGTTACCTGTTGTTTTGTCTGTACAGCACTTTGGTTGGCCTTGTTGCTGTTTTAAGTGCTTTATAAATAAAGTGGTATGGTATATTGTTTGTCAATAATTAGTAATTACTGTCAAACGTAAGAAGAAATGTTGGTAAATTTTTGTGTAGTACCTTTTTTGAGCACTGGATGGCAGTACAAGACTGTGTGAACCGAAGGATGGCTAGTGAGGGAGCGAGCAGCGTGTCTCTTTAAGAAAAATGGGACGGAGTCCCCTTGACGTGACATGGGCTGTCTCTTGTTCCTGTTTTTCAGTTCTCAAAATGGCAGACGCTCTGTGTGGTTTGAGCTCTTTATCATAGCATTTTTCACACAAAGCTTTTAATAAAAATAAAAAATAAAAAATCAGTAAACAAGTTCTCAGCTTCTTTTTGCAGAGAAAAACAACTTTTTACATGAAGGCACGGGTTTGAATTTCGGAGCTTCGACAAGACGGAGGTTTTTTCCCGAAGTCGGCCTGTTAGCTTAGCTCGTAGCATAGCTTCTCAACTTAGATGCTTTTAACGATTCAAAAATGCAATTTTAGACGCTTAAAAAGGATTTTAAAGAGAAAGGGAGGGGTCAGTGAAGAGCACCAGAGTTGAGCCTTTTGTCATCCAGTGTCTTCAGTAGAAAGAGAGAGACACGAAAAAAAACGATCAAGCCGATAAATGAAAACAAGGTCGATAATTTTCATTTATCGTGCGATTTTTATAGATTTATTGTTTATCGCAACAAGCCTAATGGCCACATCTGGTGAGATATGTTATGCTCAGAGTATGTGTTGAGGATGACGCACAGCTATACTACCACACCACGTTTTAGCTTAATATAAAACTGCGTTATAGCCATTCTTGTAGTAGCAAATTTGATCCAAAATAAAATCAGGTGTAGGTGTGCATCCAATGATTAGTCGCTGAGAGTTTCATTCAGATCTGCCCATTGGTTCATGAGATGTATTGCCATCAGTATAGACAAATGAACAAGTGGTAAAAGCATTCTCACCCGGGCGATAAACAGTTAATCTGCTATGTGTTATGAGCTATGATTGTAAACCCCTGTACATCAGCAGCCTTGCACAACACACAGTTCTCCGGAACTGTAGGTGGAAGTTGCATTCCAGGCAAACCAGTTTCGGGCTTTTTACAATTAATTTCATTAGCACTGCCTGGGTATCAATACAGATCACACTCACGCTTCTTAAGCAGATATATTGGTGAATGAGGAAGCATGGGTTGGTAATGCTTAAGAGCTGACTCACTGCTTCCATGTTTTTTTTTTTTTTTTAAGCATAGAAAATATAAAATGAGAGAGAGACCTCACATAATCTGGGTATAAGGCTCATTCTTGCTACTGTCTTCATGCAAGAAGAGACCAAGAATGAGGCCAGGAAAGTTATTTGAAGTGGAAGAGACGAGAGGGGAAAACTTTGATGGCTTATCTGAGTAATGTGCAGTGACAGTTGAGCAATGATGAGTGTCTTCTATGTTTAACCCTTCACTGCCTTCCTCTAAGCAGTGACCATTCGCTTTAGCTTCTTTATATAACGCGTGTAATTCAACCTGGACACGTGCAGAATTAGTTTTTTTCTCATCCATCACTAATTCATTACTTTATGATCCCATTCACATTAATGAGTAAGACCTCTCCAGCTCAGCCTCTGTTTTTTTTTTTCCTCTAAATCTCTTGAACGCAGCCTCCCCTGCTTTTCTCCTCTGCCAAGGCCAGTGCGCATGCGCTGTGCTGACACTCCGCTAATCCGCTGGAGGAGATTGCATCCTCGTCCGCTGCGCTCAGGCTCAGTGAGGGAGGAAAAAAAAAAGATTGGGAGTGGGGAACATGTATAACAAGAAACCGGGTGGCTAAGAGATATAATGGAACCATAACGGACCGAGTAGTTGGGGCATTATGGGATGGAGCGGTGTTAAACTGTGATGCGAGGCGACAGAGACGGCAGCCGGGACCGGAGCGGAGGATGCTTCCTGAGAAAAGACAACACAGCGCTTTGAAATGTGAGATGTGCAGGCAGAAATGGAGCCGGCAGAAGATGAAATTTGCGACGGAGTGCTTCTTGAACTGAACCTTTTTTAACCTCTGGATATCACCTTTTGTGCAGCACACTCCCTGGCCTTTGCACCGCTGTGTGGACACGAGCGCGCGTCACGTTTTTTAAACAAATAATGGTCGCACTGCTGCTAATGGGCTCAATTAAAAACAAAGCGGGTTTTTGTGATAATTTATCATTATTTAAGATGGTAAACTAGCCTGAGAGAAGCTGATTTCTTAATCACCTAATATTTAACCCAGATTAGCACTGCTTTCTGTGTTTTTTTTAGCAAGCTCCTGTTGGAAATGCATGCCTTGAAGTTTGTCCTCCCTCATAGTTTAGCTGCATTGACACATGCTTTTCCCCTCAGCTGCTTCGCCTGCAGAGACTTGCCATGACAGGCAGACAAGTCCGCATAAACCCAAGTTGATAAACTGGACTGGTGGGCTTGTGGCGGTGGGATCAGACATAAATTAAGCTGTGGTTCTCAGACAGCGAGGATCATCTCCTTGTTCTTGTGCTAGCGGAGCACAACAGCATGACCCACAGCAGTCCTGCTTGGGAGATTTTAGTTCTTGCAGAACATCTTCATCCTGTTTCAACTGATTTGTGTGCGTGTTAGTGAGTCATTTTGTGGAGTTCTGTACACCAGAAATGATCTTATCTTAAGTAAGCCCCCACCTAATCAGACATGGAAGATTTCTCCTGTGGGAAAATGCAGCTGAAGTGTTTTACAGTAAACCTTCACAACAGCTGTTAGTTATACTGGATGACTGAAAGAGGAAACTTGGAGACTTGCATGCTTGTAGTTTTGCCAAAACCCCTCCCTTGAAACGCAGTACATTGCATCCCTTCAGTGCCCGTGTTGTAAATAACTTTTAGGATTTTTTTATTTTTGTGTGTGTGTGTGTGTGACAAGATCTGCATTCATTTTGGACTTGCAATTTCTTTTTGATGTCAGAGATGGGCTGGAGGCGTAGAGTTTGGTCCGCTGCAATGTTCGAACACAGCAAACGCAACAATAAACCCAAACTTCAGAGCTTTTGCTGATCTTATGAGCATGTGCAGAAGCAAACGGAGACAGACATGGGCAGATGTAACAGAAAAAACATGCATGGAATTACAAGTGGCTTTGCTGCCAAGTGTTGCAAGCGTAAAGTGTATAAGGAGAGAGAGAATTACAAGACTTTGCTTTAGAAAAATTGCATTTTTACTCATCTTAAACCAGCTGCTGCATTAGGATCAGTGCTCTGTGCTCCAACTTGGCACTAGGGGATACTCAGTTTGATCTGGATATACACATTTTAATATCCTTGGTTCTCTGGAAATTTTTACTTTTTTGTCGTCCATTGCAACGCTGGATCCCTGGTCAGCTTTGTGTTGCAGGGAAAACAAGTCCGATCGATCCACTTATCAGAGAGCATTTAGAGACTACTTTCTTATCTCGCTGACAATGGGGAGCTCAGCCTCATCTCTCGCTGCAGAGACTGAGTCGGACCATGGCTTCAGGAGCACCCCCTACTCATCATCACCACCCACTGTGGGCTGGCTCAGGAACAGCCACAGCAGTCCCATGTGGGGTACCACCTTCATCACGCGGCAGCAGCAGCACCCACTGCCTCACCGAGAGCGCAGGTAAGAGACCAGCCAGGCGTCCGAGACCAGCGCTGGCCTTGTGGTGTTGCATATTCTGGGTTGATGGAAACTTCTAAATGCAAACGCACACTGTGAAATTTGTTCTTCAACTTTATCATTTCGATTTTGTTGCAACGGGGTCTGTTGATGCAAGTTGTTCTTTTCAGAAACATGTTATCTGATAATCTTTTAGAGCAGCTTTCAGTAACTTTCCTGCCATGGATCACATCCATTGCTTTACAAGAGCTTATCTAATCAAACCCTGCATTTTGATGTTTGGCCATGATGCACCTAAAATCGGTCTAAGCTGGATTAAAAATAAATAAATAAATCAGCACAACAAATAAATAAAAAATTCCACCTTCTCCCCACGCAGCTGCACAGTTTGAGCTACAGTTTTAGCTCCGAGTGAATTGCTTGATTGGATAGAATAACCTAACCTTTGTAACTATTAAAATAATAAAACCAGAGGTAATCACTAAATGGGTTTTTTGTTTTTCAAGCTTTGTGACCTGCTTTGATTTTTAAATGCTTGAAAATCTGATTACAAGGTGGATTATTTGTTGCCCGCCACTGAAATGGGTGATAATGTTTTTTGCCTGTATTTGTGTGTCCATTATCAATATATCTAATGACATAATAATCAATAATTTGGTATTAAGTTTTGGCAGTCAGCTCCGTTCATGGTAGCTGCTACAATGGACGTTCAAAAGACAGAAACTGCAGCACCTCAAGTCAGTTTTACAGAAATCAATCAAACTGGGAGGGGTGGTAGCTGAGACTGATCCCCAACACATTCTGGACATGAACAAATAGTGCAAGATTTTTGTTTAAAACTTGGGCACTGATTTGGGGTCACCTCTGTCTGTTTGTTAACAAAATATCTCATAAACCTCTGGATGAAAATAATAATTGAACTGATTACATTTTGGTGTCTACTCATTTCAAAATGTCCACCAGTGCCATCTGACTTTAGAAAACACAAAAATAACTATAATTTAGTCCATTTTTACAACTATTGCATCAAAATTGGATATGGTAGAGTCATTCACAACACATACTCCGCTGTGCAAGAACTTTGTTTAAAAATGTAGTTTTAACTCTTTCAGTCAAAATATCTCATAAACTACTGGACAGATTTTGGTGGAACTTTTGGATAGTAATCACAGCTTATTGTTTGCAGTCAGTCCAGAAGCTGATCACTTTTAGCCAGCACAAAATAACGATTACTTAGGAAATGTTAAAGATATAGAGTTTGAAAGTCATTTTCAACACACTCTGAGCATGACACTTTGCAAAACCACGTGTCATTGCACATGTTGTTTTCAAGGTTTGACTAAAATGGCTACAACGGTGTCATTTATCAAGCTACTGTTATTTTAGTCTGAGCTCTGGCCTGAAAGGAAAGGCTGCAGGAGATGTATTCCTTCAAAGAGTGAAAGACCTTTATGGTAGCATGCCTCTTTAGATTAATTGTTTATCGTTCTGAAAGTTGTTTTTCAAGATCGTACTCAGCAGGTTAGTGATTGTAAAATCGTCAGAACTGATTATTTAGAAGAGAATCATCAAATTGACTGAGCTTCTGAGTCAGTCAGAAATGTCACTGCCTTTATAAGATTGTGTCGACAGTAAATCTAATCCATCGTTCTGAATTGTAGTCAGCTGACTGGCTTTCCTCTAACATATGATCCTCTTTACAACCCTGATAAAAACTTGTTTAGAAGCATTTTCTGCTTTCCCATCTATTTCTTTTTGTGGGTTGTGTCTCCCAGAATGAGAACACACAGTTGATATTGACCGCCTGAAGTGTATTGAAGTTGTTGCTGAGTCACTCAAGGCATCATGGTCTGGTTGTTAGTTATTGATTTTCAGAGAGCCCGATCACATTTCCCCACAATGGATGTCATTATTTATTCAGCCGCGGTCTCCTGTCGGGCTTTCATCTTTCTTGATTCCTGCCGACTTGCTGTCGTTGCCCTCCTTGCAGTTGCTCTTCATTTAACAGTTCGGGCTGTCTTGGCTTTTACTTCCTATTAATTTTTTTTTGTCAACTATTGACAGGTTTTGTTTTATTTAGCTCAGTGTTTAAACACAGCTCAGTAACGTGTTTAACTCCAACCATATGGATCTACCAGGCTACATCCTGAGTCATCTTAGCACACAAACACATTCTGGCTATTGCTTTAAAGCATGGGAGATCCACATATACATTACATAGCACACTGCATCAGATGTTTTACAAACACTATGTTGTAGCACCTGAATCATGTTTTCTCATCTTCCCCCACTCGGTCTTTTTTACTTGCACAATAACTAACCAGCTCGTGCACACATACACACACGGCTGTGTGAGGCTAACAAAGTTAGGCAAGCTTTGCTGAGCTGTGACAAAGCATGAAATATGGAAACAACAGAACACTATGAGCCCAGCATATTTTCAGCTGTTCTCATCTAGTTTTTCTCGCTCATAAATCGTCCCATAAGACATTTTTCCTGTTGTCTTTGTTTAACTTTGAGGGCTGTATTGGCAGTCCTTTCTTTGTAATCTTTTTCGTTTTTGGACTCTGGGACGTGTTTGTGCCTCCTGGCCTTAAGTTCAGCTGTGAAAGTTTACTCTCGTCAACGTCTTGGACACAGAACTGTTCTTGTGTGAGCTGCAGTGCTTCTTTGGAGTTTTGGTCTCAGCCCTGTTGAAATTACAAATACTACTACAGTGCAGTTCAACAAGTGTTGAGTGAACATGCCTTCTTTTTTTTTCAGCAACACACTGCTTGTGTTTTTGAAGTGCTTAGTGCTTTGGGGGTTCTTGAGATCTTAAAGTCCAATTGTTTTTCAGAGTCAATCTTATCGTTACTGTCCCAGCATGATGGATGGTGACAGTTATCACAGCTCCATTAAACTGGCTCCCCTCCTTGTTAATTGGATTAAAAAGGGTTTGCATGGGCTTGACAAGCATGGCCAATGACCGTGTTTATGTTTGAATTATTTCAACATGTCCTCCCTCACAATTACCTGTCTGATGAAGATGGGGCTACGTCAGGGCATCCTAAATGGATTTGGCATACAGGCATTGTCTCACAGCGTGGCTTTCGTTGGAAAACGGCATCGTTATGCAGCACAAAATTTAGCCTGTTGGGTCTGCGGCTGACATGATTCCAGATTTCCCCATTCCTGTTGCCATGGCAATCTGTAGCATATGCTCAGTAACCTAATTTTAACGAGCCCTAGATAAGACCGCACATGCTAACCTGGCCTTGGAAAGATAATTGTGCACGCAAGTAGCACCTGTGGAGAAATTCATAATAAGATTCCTAAAATGTTTGGAATTTGTCCCCCCCCACACACACACACCCACCAAGTTTTTTGTACAAATTTATTTTCAGGGTTAATTTTTTGTTGTAACAGGAAGTGAAACTTTTTTTTTTTTTTTTTTTGAGACGTCCTTCTGGCTGATGGCAGCACTGTGTCAGCACTTCTCTGGCCCTCCAGCTTTGGGTACCTACTGGAACTTTAGATCATTACAGCAGAGACAGCAGCTTGTGTCATCTTTTTCCCTCCTTCTCTGATTTGGGGACTTGCGTTGAGTTCTTGCTTTGCCTTTTTACTACCTATGTCAGCTGAAACTCAGTCAGACGGTTTCCTCTGTTTAAAGATTCAAATGCCTAAAGCTGCCTCTACCGTTTACAGATTTAGCATTCAAAAATGAGCACCAGTTGTGAAATATTCACAAAGGCCACATCCAGAGGTTAAAAGCTGCTGTGTTTCTCCATCTTCTTTTTTTTTTCCTTTACCAGTGTTTGGTTCTTTTGCGTCTCCTAAGCAGTGACTGGTAAGTACCGTAACCATTATGGTTATTGTGTGTAAGTTGCTTGATCATCTTATAAGGGATTACAAACGGTCTAACTTTATGCAATTAAAGTCAAAGTATGCATTGCACAATATATTCACTAAATATTTATATATCTTTCTATGCTAATAATGTGGATATTTCTATAATACCACATATTTTGTATAATGCTTCATTTTTGTACTTGAATAATAATCATTCAGTTTTCTAAACGTGCCTTAGTGTATATATAGCTTTGACCATGGTTATCAGACTGTCTTTGCCTCAAGGTCCTTTTTCAAAAGACTTCTTGTATGGTTGATCTTTCTTTTTTAACACCATGAAATTCTTTCTCATCATTGAACTAAAGCTTCTCCGGTTATCTTTGTGCTGTCCTTTGTGACTAAAACGTCACTGTCATTGATCCTTTGTATCACGTCACCAAGTTTCAGGGTGTCAGTCTAGAGACTCTTTATCTCTGCTTAAGTCTTGACTCCAGACACTCCCCTCAGATAAGTAGTGGTTAGTGGTGCGCTTCCATTTTTTTCACTTTAACTATTCTGGACCTGTCAGGGCTGATTAATGACTCATATCATGCCACCAGTTATTACCTGAAGGATGGAAAGAGGCTTTTAAAGTTTAAAGTCAATTCCCTGACCGTCGACTTAACAACTCTTCCCAAAGAGAGAGAATAAATGTTTGGTGGGAGTCTATTATTAAATGAAAGTTTGTCCTCGATGAATTGAAATAATTTTTGCCAGTATGTCTTTTGCAGAAGGTCTTCATTCATTACCAAACAAGCTAACTATTGATTCTCTGATTTTGTTTGTGTGATTAAAATACTTCAAAAGGGTTTATCTATCGCCTGTCACAATTATGTTTTAGCATTTATAAGTATTTTTAAGCTTGTCTTGTATAATAGCTTTTTATGACACTTCATATAATGCTAACCGTTGGCCTGACACTTGTATTTGCTTGGAAGAAAGTAAAACAGAACGCATAATGACAACATGTGAAAACCTTTAGCTGTGCGCACAGCTGAGAGTCACCACTGCCTGCAGTTCTTTCACTTACAACAATGCAGCCATTGTACAACAAATACATTTTCTGATCTAAATGTTCCAAGCTAGTGTTTTTATTTAGTTTTAGAACTCGGCGTCAGAATATATGTCTG